TCATGTCACGAAATCCATTCCACTGGGATGCCCGGCACAGCATCGCCACTTCCGCGTCGCTGCCGTCGTCGGTCTCGGTATTGAAGAGCTCGTCGATGCGCTGATAAAGGTGCCGCGACAGCTCCTGTCGTCTTCTTTCTAGGGGTTGATCCCTAGAACCCCGCTTCTTAGAACCTCCAAAGCTGAGCTCCCTGTACCATCCCTCGTCCTTTTTGGGTACTCAGCTTCGTTTCGGTTGGGCTCCCCCATTTCCTCTTGACATCATACATGAATCTAGGGCTTGATTCCTTTTCCCCATTCTTTTCAACCATCGTTCTTTCCAAAAACCGGATCCGTTTTCCCGATTGGGTTGCCGGAGGTTTTCTAGAAAGAAGGATCCCTTAAAAGAATGGAAATGGAAGGTATCCGGTACCCCTAGATTCTTGCTACATTTTTGGAAATCCACCGAAGGTCTGGGATTCAGAAGGACGCCAAAACACAGAGCACTCAGCTTCCCACTTGCTTGGATGGGGTGGCACTAATGATGGTTGCCATTCACATCGCAAAGGAGGTTCCCTGCAAACCACCGCAGAACCACGCAGAAAACCACCAAACCAACACAAGCAGGGGTTCAGTCACCACCATTAAAACCACGGGTGATTTTGATGGCTTCCCATCCTTCAAGAGGATCAAATCGAAGACTGATGGCTTCAACAGAAGGACACCCAAATGGGGGCGTCCATTTTTTAGGGGACCCCCATTTTGGTTTCACTTGAAAATCCAACCAAACGAGAAAAAAACACTGAAAAAACACACCCTAATGGCTTTGGAAAATCCTCCAAAGTACCCATTGTTGGGAGAGATTTCATGGCAACGTGGAGATTTCCCTGGGCCGCCAAGAGGTAGCAAGATAAGTTGACCGAAATTCAAGTTGACTGCCACCCAAAGGTTTCGGTAACAACGCGACCCTCCAAAGAAGTTGACGGCAACCAGCGTCGGGCACTCTATTTGTTTTCACCACACTGCCTCAAGTGGGTGGGATCGTACCTGTTGGTCGATCAGCATATATTCTCTGGAGTCGTTGTCGGTGTCTCTTAGACACCACTGACTCAAAAGAGTACAACACATGAAAAGGTAAGCAAATGCCAAAAGCATGCAAACCAAAATGTTGTACAGCAAGGTATCGAGAGGGAGTGGACGTTCTCCCGTCGTAGGTCAACTCCTGTCAAAGGTGAAGCCAAAGGCGAGCGACCAAGACAAAGAATAAGGAAAGAAGTCCTTACCATAGGGCAGGTCTCCTTACTGGTGTGTTGGGCCCTCACGGGACGTGGGAAGCCCTGGGTCACGTGGTGTGATATGGGATTGGTGGAACTTTTGGAGTTCCGGCATTTCGTCGAATCCGACGTTGTGGGCGAATTCAATGTTGCCGACACAATGAAAAGATATTTTCGCCAAAATGGCGATCGGTGCACATGCATTTGTCTCATGCAATGCGCAGTACTTGAAATTCCAATTCAAGTACATGTTCAAGCCCTTTCGCTTGCAGTTGTTACTTAACACAGGTGTTAACCGCAACAAGATGAAAGGACCGGGACCTGGACTGGACCAAAACTTAGACCACATCGAAGAATATGTCACAAGAATACAAAACAGGGTGTACGTGTGTGGGTGTGTGTTTGCTTTTCCTGGAACCCCAGAACACGGACGAAAGAAGGACAGGTGAAAAGTTCGGTGGTTGACAACTCGCCCTTTGATCACCCGCAATTCCATAAAGAAAAACATGAAAATGCCTCGCCCTACTGAGCGTTCTCAAAGTCAAAAACTGGAGCTTTTGGGCGGGGGGGGAGGGGGGTCGCTTTTTCAGGGTAGAACCAAAACAACCACATTTGGTTTTGGGGGGGTCCCCTGAAAAAAAGACACTTAGTGTCCTCTCTGTAGCGAAGGTGATTTGAGAATGGGAGGGACACCGGCAATAAACGGTGTTTTTCTTCAAGGACGACTTTTCTCCAGTCTGGGGTACCAGTTGTTAACATGCTACCACGTGGGTACTTTCTGCACTTCTGTCTCTAGGTCACCCACAGCCCCCCAGCCCCCAGACCCGAAGAGAATGAGTATGTAGATACCGCTGTCCATGGTTTGGCTGAATGAAAATATAATGCCTTGGTGTCCAAGCCTTGGTTCCTTCTTTCGTCCCTTGCCTACGGATCGATTCCAGAAACAGGCGAGTGAAAAGTAATCTTCTGTGAGCTTTTCTATGCCCATCTGTTTTGCCATGCAGGGCATGTTGGGCAACAGCACTCGGTTGGTGTTACCCTCTTTGTGGTTGGCTTGAAGAGAACCAAAGAGAACCAAAAGATGACAGGAAGTATTGTGCGTGTATATATATATGTATATATATATGTACCAGTCCCTGGGCCACGTACCCCCCCCCCCCCCCCCAATGGTATGGTCCCCCCACTCCCCTGGGGATGATGCTGGCAATGCTGGGGATGCTGTCCAGTACCGTGTGAGCTTCGGTCCCAGACTCCCCCTTTCACCCCGTGAACCAACACCCCCGCACCTCTCGCAACATCCTACCCTAAACCAAACCACCCTGCAACCCCTCCTTAACCCCAACCCTAAGCCTAAATCAACCAACCACCCAACCACCCAACCACCCAACCACCCAACCACCCAACCACCCCACCACCCCACCACCCCACCACCCCACCACCCCACCACCCCACCACCCACCCCACCCCCCACAGGGGGGGGGGGGTTGGCCCAACCACCCAACCACCCAACCACCACCCCACAACCCCACCACCACCCCACCACCCACCCACCCCACCCCCACAGGGGGGGGGGGGTTGGGGAGGGGAGGGGGGGGTCCACGGCCTGGAACATATATATATATATACACAAGTATATATATATACATATATATATATATATATTGTTCCAGTCCCCAGGCCACCAACCCCCCCCCCCAAACCAAGCGCTACACCCGAGCCTCCACGTCGCTGGGGTTTTCCCAGCTGGGGGGCCGCTTCTTCCTGCGCTGCAACCAGTGGGCCAACACAAAGAGATTTTGGATTGGTCCTTTGGACCCCCGAAAAAAGATGGTAGCTTGGATCTTGCCAGAAAGAATGGTTGGTCTCGTTGGGCTTTCCTTTCTCAACTTGGACCTTCAAATGGTTGGTCTCTCCTACGCCTCGGAGTCTGCAGGGGGTTAGACGTCTGGTGAAGAGATGCGTTAGCATAGGTGGCCTATTGGATAAAATTGATGGCCCTGGTAAATGGAACAAACCCCATCTGAACCAGGGCCATTTATGTTTTAGGCAAACCAACCAAAAAGGACACCTATGTTCGTTAGGTTCAAGTCAACGATTTTCACCAAGCTCCCCAAGTCTCCGCGCATCGATTGGCCAAACCACCCGCGCCTGGAGGTTGTGCTCAAATACTCCACCACCTCTGCCTACGCGTCTTGTTGGGCAACAAACACGGATCCTAGCCTCAAAAAAGACACCATGTTTGACATGTTTGTCTTGCTGGTATGATAGGGAATGACCTTCCTTTGGGAATGAGCCGAAAGGGGATTGAAGGAAGCCATAGATGGTTTGTAGGGGTCATTCCCTCATTCCTTGCTGAGAACCAGCAAGTTGAGAGCCACAGTGTGAATAACGACGTACGGGTTGTGGTAGGTTCCTTGCTGATGCTAACACGTGACTCGCCGCAAGGAAGCTCTCAGCATGCCTTTGAAAGTCCATGTTCGTCTGAGGGATAGTGACGTGACCAGTGTTGGTTGAAAGTGAAAACGATTCAAGCCAAAGGCCACCACTCAAAACGTGCTCTGCAAAACCGCCAGCGCCAAGTCTAAAAACGCCCACCCAAACCAAAAACACGGCAGCAGGTGTCCTTTTGGAAAATAGATGGCTCCTGCAAATGATCAAAGGCTGAAACCAGTGGCATCCCTCCATGTCTGCGGGAAAACAAGCCTATAATTTAAGGGTCTGCTGTTGAAACCCAAACCACCCTCGAAGGGATCCATCATTTTTGGGACTGACAAAGAATCAAGCCTCTCAAACTGCTTGCCCTTTCCACGTCGCATGTCTGCAAGAACCTGTTCTTCCACTGGGCACTCAACAAGTGTAACAAGGGCTCTGCAAAAAACAAGAAGTGAGCCATGCCCCTCCGGTGTGGGGCAACAATTTCAGGAGATAAGTGCGGTTTGGCGCTCTCAGCGGCAAATCGGAACCTCTACATTGAAAAACTGTTTAATGGGGATAAGCACCCCAGAGTTAACAAGCCCCTGGTTAAGTAGTTGGGGAGTGCGCCAGTTTAGAGGGAATCCGGATCACTTGCGTGATACTTAGCCATCCGCAAGTTCATCCAGGGCACGTTAAACCAAAGTAACCTCTCTTCGAAGGTACACCACTGGATCCAGATGGGCTAGCACCACTGGATCCAGATGGCTAAGGGCGTACTCGTGTTGCTTGAATTCGCAACTAGGAAAGGAATCAAGCGGGTGTTCGGGAACAGCAATTGGATTACCTGAGCCACTTAGATGGTTCAGTTCAGGGTCAGAACTCATTGCCTGTGAAAACTAGGAAGCCATTTTGGAGAAACCCCCTGCCAAACCCCCTTTGTGGGGTCAACCCAAAAGGAGTGAACATTTAAGAGGCCGCCCCCCTCCGCGCTTATTTATGTCTGGGACTGCCCAGCTTCACTTACCCGAATCAATTTTGATTGTGTACCATCTTCGGGGGGTCCAGATCCACGGAACATAGAAGAACCCCAGCAGTCTGGGGGTTGATTCCTTGTCCAAGAGAGGGTGTGTCTCTTGGGAATCGGACACCCCCAAAGTTCTAGGGGTTGATTCCTTGTCCATTCTTTCCAACCAGCGTTCTTTTAGAAAACCAACCTTTTCCCTGGGTTTCTGGAGGTCTTCTAGAAAGAAGGATCCCTGGGTTCAGAATGGGGAAGATAGCACTCGAATATTCTAGTCCCTTTTTTCGTCACCACGGGTCCTCACAATTTTAGAACTGGATCCTACCAAGGGTTCGAATCATCGGCAGCAGGTCCGCCTGGAGCTGACGTGCTTTGGCAAAGGAGTCCCTCCCGCCCCAACCTGCGAGTAGCTCGGCCGCTACCGACAGACGTGGGTGGCGGGATTGTCTGTCTCAAAAAATCGGGGAGCCCCGCAAATGGGCGGCTTCCCTGAAGTGGCCTCCAAAAACAAGCAGACCCCCATATAAAGCACACTACTTTGGGTACAAACCCATTTTCCCAAAAGGAAACAAACTAGGGTTGCTGGGGCGCTGTTCCCCCTAAATGGGGAAGTTGCCAACGTTCGCCTATGTATCCAAGACCGATTGGTGGTATTGTCCGCTGCTCATATCAAACGTTATACCAGGGTCTATGTTGCATGAAAGTCTGCTCTGGGGAATTGTTGTTTTTGTGAGGTGTGCTGCACAATCGTCCCCATACCAGCAAATGGGCCAGGGCACCGCCAAGTCCTTTCATCTCGAAGCAGACTGCTCTGAAACTGCCTTTGCAGTTGGCACGAAACGGACCAATCCAAGAAAGTCAGGAACAAGTCCACCAACTCTACGGCATCAGGAATTCGCCCCAAATGCCAACACCAAAACCCATTGGCATCAACTGTCCGAAGCTCCTTCGCTGACAACATCCTGCTGAAAAAATCCTTCAAAAAAAAAGAAATGAAGAGGCCAAGTTGAGCATTGACGCTTGGTTCTCCCCATGAACTAGTTGGATCGGCGACCAACGTTTCACCAGTTGGACCGGTAAAAGGGAGGTGCGAAACTTCTTGCGTGGTCTTTATGTAATGGTTTTCATAACTTTATGATTATCATCTTCATGATTATTTTAGCTCCAGCAGCTCATTGAGTAATACTGTGTTCTTAGGTCCTGTTGGTTTCCCTTTCAAAACACGAACAGAAAGTGTTATGCTCAAAAAAAAGATTCATTCTCTTCGAAATCTGATCGAAGGGTTCAAATGGAATCCTCCTGGCTCGGATAGCGAAGGGGCCACCAGGCTCCAGTCGCAAAACGAGGCGGTGGTCCACCCTTCGTCCGGATCATGCTATAATTTCTACCCCCCCCCCCCCCAAACACAAACACAGGCTGGTGCCCCCCACCACCAACAAAAAAAGCCATGGCAAAGGCTTCCTTTGGATGCCCAAAACTCAACTTTCCCCTTTGGGGAACCAGGGGGGTTCAGCTGAGTCATTAGGCCCGAATCTTCGACTTTTGGGTCAACACCCACCCTTTCAAAGAATACGCAAAGTCTATTCAAAGCTCTGAACTCAAGAATTTCCTTCAAACATTTGCGTGCCTTGATCTGTGGCCAGCGCCAACGTCGTCCACCGCTCAAAGACGCGGTCGACGGCCTCGGAAAACTTGTGGACAACTACACTTTCCTTGATACGACTACTTTGTGACTTCAGTCATCTCCTCAATATGGTAATTCTATCAGTTGCTCATGTGCGGTGCTGCGTTGTGCCAGATCGCCCAATCTCTCTGCTCGCAGTGGCCCCTTCATCCTACCCCCCAGGTGTCCTGAGGAATGACTTGGTTTCCCCCACTGCGAATCCCTATTGAAAAGTCGATCCGTTCTTCTTTCCTTCGAAACGAACCAAAATCGTGCGCCAGAACCCAAGACGCGTTGTCCACATTCAGAATGGGCCATCGCCGGAATAGGAAGGGGCATGATTGGAGCTGGGCAATGTCATAAAATAAAACCAGCGTTGTTCACGTTTAGTCCAATAGCGTGTTACATGCTTCCTCATCCCCTTGAACATTATATCCAACCCCGCTCCCAAGCCCCTCTTCAGGTCGACAAGAGGCATCCCCATTTCGCATTAGAAATCCCCAGAAGGCGAAAAAAGTCTTAGGGAGGGCATCAGGGCATCCCAAGCGCCCCCAACCCCCCCCATTGGTCGGATGGGCTCATTCCCGACCACCCCGCGCCTCATGGAACTTCTGCTCCATGGGCAAGTCCCTGCGGATGCCGCCGTATCGCTGAAAAAAAAACCGCCGCGGCCGGAGGTGCGTTTTTCTCTTCGGGATGTGTGGCTTGTTTTTTTGTTTTCCGGACGTTAAATTCTACAGTGGCAGTGGCATGTCTTTTCTCTTATTTCGGAAGTGAACACCATAGTAGGCAGCCATCCTGATGTGTTTTCGCGTTCCCCAACTTGGAGCGTCTGTGGGCTAGGATTCCAGAAGGGTGCCAGCAGTTGCTGTTGGGAATACGGGACGGGTGTCTCTGTCTCGCAAGATATCAAACCCAGATGGGATGAAAGCCACAGTCAACAGTGTGTCCTCAACTGACACGGGAATGCTGGCGAACCCCTGGATGACGGTACAGATTGACAGTTGCTCATGTGGAATCCACCTTTTTCGGTTGTCTTGCCTTGGGCTCTTTTCGACAATAAGGATGACCATAGTTGGTGTTGCATTGGTTTGTGAGACATGTTGCTTACAAATTAAGTGAACCCTCACAAAGTCCTGCACCGGTTTGGTAGGTGGCACATGTGCACTCGAACTTGTGTGAACACAAACCTGGTATTTATGAGGAGTCTGGCCAAACCCATGCGAAAGCGTTTTCGTCGCGTTTTTGGTTTGGTTGCGACTGTCTCACCGCTTGCCTTTCCGTCTGGCCAAAACTCCTCAAATCTGGGCGGGGGTCCTTGGTTGCTCAGGAATCCGAAAGAGTGCCAAAGCCCAACAGATCCATCGTCGCAACCCAGCTCAAGACAAAAAAGGAGTGCCTTGGCCATGGAGCCTATGACCTACCGGGTATGGACTCCAGCTTTTTGTTTTCTTCTCGGAAACCTTCTGGGTAGAATCCGAATCCCTGTGAAGGGATCGAGGAAACCGATCAAAAAATAAACGCCCGTCCAGAGGCCAATTCAGCCTATGTGGCCACCCTCGTGTCAGATCCATTCACCGACAAGACACAGAAGGGGACTTAGCAAGGGCGGGTTCCCAAAGGGATCGTTCCGAGAAAACCAAATGGTTCCGGGAACCGAAACCTCTGGCCTTCAGCTTGCATCAGGGACGCACATGCAAACGCATGCGTCTTGGACCCAAGATGCTGCTCTGGCCTTTCTCCCAAGTGCGCAACATAGGAGCTTCCAAAATGGGATGCGCAAAGGAAACCAGGTAACCATAAAGGAAGCCAACGGATCCAGGCAACCCAGCCCTGAGAAAACCCAACAATGTTGGCTTGGATGGGAACACAAGAGCAAAAAGGTTGCCATTTGAGGGGGGTTCGGCTGCCCGAGCATTCTGCAAGCCGCAATGCGCAATCTATCTCTTGAACGAGCCCCAACGGGCGTGATCACTGGTGTCGATGTTTGGGTCAGCTGCATCGAGATGTGTGGTACCCATCAACCCAAAATGGAACCTGCAGAAGGTGCGAACTCCATCCCAAGGCGAACCCCAGTCGGGATGGAAAAGTTGCCCAACAAGTCCGCGAATGACAAAAACTTGTTGCACAACACAATCCGGAAGCCTGAAATCAATCACGACGCTTGGCCTGGGTGATTACCTCTCGCCTGCACATATTGTCAGCTGCTCGCATAGGGAGATCTATCCTGATAGCTTTTGAAAGTCTTTCCTGCGCCCCCGACAGTCTCAGAAAGCTGTAAAGTACAGTCTGACGATGTCACTCCGCCCCCCACTTCCCTTTTTTGCCTGAAGTTGACTGTCTGCCTGGCTAACTGCTTTCTCTACTGCTGCCTGGCTAACTGCTTTCTCTACTGCTCCTTGCGCAGCATCTGCAGAAACGACGCAGGATGAAATACAGGGCTAGCGAGACAATGATCTGGACAAAACAAAGTCCCAGCACCGCTTCTTGCCCTGCTGCCAGATGCTTGAACCGAATCTGAAGCCGGCCACCTGCATCTTGAAAGGCCACGACGGCGCCCAAATTTAGAAGCAAGGATGTAGTGTCTTGGCTGAAGTCGTCTTTCAACCTTAGCTCGTGGGGCATAGTGTTGGAATGCTCAAGATCGATCGCGTCATAGAGCGCGACACTCTTGCCATTCATGGCCAGGTGCGTGTCCCGTTGCGTAAATGCCGTGAGGTCAGACACATTGGGCAGCTTGTCTTCCAATCCGGAAGACCCGAACTGCTTGTACATGCAATGGATCTGCTTCACGCTCCGACTCCCATCCCTCGGCCAAACCGTGAGAGGCATCAAATAGTCCCTCATCGAAAGGAAGCTGCTGGGAGGGACGAGGTACTCATCTGCGTCGATCAATGCAAGCCAAAAGGTGGATATGTTCGGAACCCTGAAGTAAGGTGCGTGAGGCGCATAAAGTGGGTGGATCTCGAGCACACCAGCATCTGAATATGGGGCAAAAGTCGTGTTTATCGCAAGTACACGATCATCAGCATACATCACAAAATGGTCCACTCCTAGAACAGTGGAAGCATTGATGTATGCCTCCAAAATCAAATGCTCCATGAAAACCAAGCGGAGCTGCGCTGTGAGGAAGTAGCTTCGGCACTCACGCACTCCCTGGCCTTCAGGGGAAAAGGCTGGGGCCTCTTTGCGGGTGTTCCCTACATGATAGTTCCAGACGCAGTGCTCCTTCGGATGATAGCGCCGCAGCCTTTCTGCCATGCTCATTTTGGACATGCCATCCAAGAACGGTCGGAACCGAGCGGAACTGGCGTCTTGTGTCCCGTTTGGGGTGTCTCGGCGCATGAAGTTCTGATAGGCGCGGTCTGCAACAGACTGATTCGCCGATGTTTGTTTGACTTCCAGGAAGTCTGTATCAAATCGACTCTTGTACCCATCTCCGGTGTAGAGCCGCATAAACTCGCCGAGGCTCCGTGTTCTATAGTGATGCACAACCGGCATATGGCGGTGCAGAAAGATTTGGAGGGCAAACTTCAGGTTGCACTCATCCTTCACACAAGAGACGCCAAAATGAAACGCCAAGAGGCCTCCAAGGAGAATGGCGACTACGAAAAATACATTGCAACACCATCTCATGATGGCGCTCATCAGTTAGATTGCCTGACCTTTCCTTGAAGTCAATAGCTGGCCCTTGTTTATCTACCTCAGCCTTGGAGATTTGTCAAAACAGGTCGTAACTTGACTTGGGAGTAAAATGGGTCCGTCTCCGAATTGGGGGCCCTTCGTTTGGAGGTGGTTTCGTTTGTGGGTTCCTTTCAAAGTCAACCCCAAAGGGCGGGGGTGGGATCCTACATTGGTCTCAAGTGTGTGTTGAAGCCAAAGAACATAACCCATCAAGTTGATGATCGTCTCAGCCACTCCAAGTATCTGCTGCCGAAATGTTCAGCATTTTTGCCGGGCGAAGACCAGCCGGTGAACTCAGCCCTTGAGCCGGAAACAAATAAGCGACAGAACCCCAACTTCTCCCCCCACGACCGGTTGGATTCCCTTACGCCCGTAAGACGCCTTTGGAAAGAAAAACCAACCCATACAAAGGCCCTGTTAAGAGAAACCAACTCGTGGGGAAGGCTTTGGGGGAGAGGCTTGGGATTGTATGATCGCCAAGAGCCAACATGACCCCCTTGGGTTCTTGATTGATTGCTGCATGTCCGGAGATTTGAACCCAAAAGTTGTTTCCGCCCATCCTAGTGATCCAGTCACTTGAGGCCATCCGCGGAATGGACGAAAGCTAGGTTGAGTGAGCGAGCGCTGGCACATCGTGCCGTAGCCATGCTAGTTGCAGCCACAACGTCAATTAATAAATTGCACACACTTTGCATAACATGTCCACTTGACATTTGTGTGCGTGTGTGAGCCAGCGTCTGCAGCGCAACACATTGCAGCACCTGCGCGGGTCGAAGTATCTTCTCTTGGCGCAAAAGAAGCTGAATCTGCAGTCAGGCGCTTCGCCTGACTGCAAAACCACAACATTTGCTCAGACGTGCACGCCTGCATATCTCTCTGTGCGTATGGACCTTGTCGGCCGTAGACGTGGCAACTGGAAGGTCGACCGAAAGAGCGCCAGGGAGGGAGAGGTACAGGGCACCACCCAAAAGCAAAGTTGCGTTTGCGCATGCAGAACCCACGTCGCCGCATTCTTTGGCACGTAGCCTGACAGACTGAAGGGGCGCGGAAGGATCACGCAACGGTTTTCTGCAGGCCCTTGCCTGCTGTTGCAGAAAAAACAAAGCCTGCAAGAAGCATCTTGACGTGTCGGCTGGCCCTCTTCTTGCGAACTCAGCATTTCCGCCTTTCATGCCTCGTTCAGCGCCGGGCCAGAATGGTCAGGGGCATCACACATGAACATACAGAAGCGTCGCTGACACTGCCATAGAGGAGAGGCAAAGTTTGAGCCTGCAGACACGTTTGTTGTCATCAACCCTTTTCGCGCAGTCGCTATCAGAATAGCCAAGCTTTATTGAAGCGTGAAGGAAACTGCACTTGCGCAATCGAGACTGCATGCGCGCACGCGCACGCAGCATGCCGGTGCGAGCGTGAGAGCAACGAGAGAGTGGCGATAGAGAGAGGACGACAGAAAGAGAGGGAGAGAGAGGGAGCGCCAGGACTGGTGGGCAGGCGGGGGGGGCAGGAGGGCCAGGAGGCGGCTGGTGGGAGGGGGCAGAAGGCGTGCCAGGGGGGACTCGAAGGGGGCCCCCCGATCTGCCGCAAAAAAAACAAGTTTTAACGCCCCCATTACTGTGAAGCAATCTTTAAGACTCGGCCGGGAACAACTTTAGGACTGACTTGTGCGCCGACAACTGGCACTCCGGGCATTTATTAAATGCCTTTGCGTGCGGAGGATCCATATCGTCAAAAGCGCATGGCTCTTCAAAACTTTCAGGCGCCAGAGAGCTCTTGGCTTTCCGCGGATCCGAGGGAGGTCTTGCCAGTGGCTGGGGAGGCAACGGCACTTGGCCGCTGCCCCTTCCAGGCGCTCCGGCAGTAGACCCACCTCTTCGGGCACCGTCCCCGGACGTGTCTCTCCTTATTGGAGGAGACAGTGGTGGCGTACCCCTCGGTGGCGGAGGAGGGCGCAACAATTGTTTTGTCGCAACCCTTGCCTTTGACGCAGAGGACGCGCGTGGCTCCCCCGCTCGCTCAACCCGCCCGCTCAACACATCCTGATAAATCGTCACAGCCGCCTCGACCATGCCGGAGCACGACGCGGAGCTTTAATGCTGTCCTGCAGCCCGGTGCATTCCCTCCAAGCTCTCAATGCTCCTGCCGCGGCCTGTGACAGCGTGATGCAGTTCACACAACTGATCCTTTGTCTGGACACAGTCGTCGTAGGATGTCCTACACGGGTGGTCATGCAAAGAGATTCGTTTCTCCAAACCTTGCATTCTTTTGCCAATGCATCTATGTCAATCCGAGCTTGCTCAGCCCTAGCCTCTGATGGGCAACCCTACTTGATAGCGCTTTTAGCGCGTTCAAGATGTCATCCTCACGCTTGTTCCTTACCTTTATTTCGTCCTCAAGATGCTCCACACTCATGACGGTCGCTTGCATCGTCTCAATGTTGGGGAGCTTCGAACGGACATCCCTGATCGCATGTATCAGCTCCGCTTCCCGGACTTTGCTGGCTTGCAGCTCTTTTTCAAGAGTTCTCCACCGTTCGGCGTTTCTCAAACGGTTGGTCTTCTTCTCAAAACCGTCGACGTTCTAGACGACCTTGCTCAAGGTCTCAGAGACCTTCTGGAGCTGTTAGAATCCTGTTCATCAGAGGTGCAAGCCCAAAGAAGCAGGGGGACTGACAACGCGTGTCCAGTCCCTTCTGCATCTTCTGCGGGGCCTGGAAGTAAACCCCTTCAGGTCAACAATTCATGTTCGACCTGCACCTCAGGGCCGTAAAACGGGCGGAGGTTTTTGTAAGCCTAGCATGATGCAATGCGTGCACCATGCGGGCGGATGCAAGGCGTGCATCCCGATGGTGTGCCATACACATGACCAACCTGCATGCACATGCAAGCCAAGGTACCGTCACCCAGGAGGCACAGAGATGACAAGGTGGGTGGGTGGGCTTCTAAAAAGGGTCAAACCCTTAGAAGAAGATCCCCAAAGGCTTGCATCAGAAACGGCGACGCGGCCGAAAATTCCAACAGGATTAAAACAAAGGGGAAATTAATACCGCAAAAGTTGGAATCCTGTGCACTGCTTCAAGCCAATAAACGGGGCAACAAGCCAAAAAAACATCAAAGCGGCTCAGAGGCGCAGGACCAAAGAAGCAGGAGAAAGTGCATCATGCGGATGCAACGTCAACGCGGACTTATGGGGCGACACTGGACCATTTTTGCTTGTGGGCCCGGGCAGCAACCAGCTGCACTGCATCCCACGTCTAAATCTCTGAACTGCGCTCGACTAAATCTCCAAAAAGGCCTGCTGCCTTTTTTGCCAGTTTCGATGACAGGTGGCAGCGCAAAATATTGGCAAAATCCACTGTCGTCAGTTTTGAAGTTGGGCGACAGTGCCAAAAAACCCGCAAACATGCGCTTCGACCCCGCAAACGTGCAGCGGCAGCTTGTGGCTGCCGGCAAGCCCCAAGGTGGCGGGGCTTCTGACACTCGTCCGTCCAGGAAACGACCTCGTCCTGCGAAGGATCCCAAAGCTAAAGTGCTGCAAAGAGCCCCGTGCCTGCACTATATCAACCCCTCGATTTGCGGCTTGGCAATTTGCCCCGTAGCTGCCTTTGTTTGTGCAAGGCGAGCTTAAAAAAAGGAGGGAACCCCGACCGATCGACGACCAAACGACGGCCGACGACCGACCGACGATGACGGCCGAACGACGACGACGACCAAACGACAACGACCGACCGACGAGAGACAAAAGAGAACGACCGACAAAGGGTGCTTTTCCTTATAAGGCGTTGCTTGGAAGTTAAGGCTCGAAAGTGCGTGTCCTTTCCCCGTGTCTGCACCCCCCGCGCCAGGTGTATTATCTGTGAAGCGTTAAACAATCGAAGGCGTTAAGGCATGTTGCACTGCTCCTATCTTGAACCCAAACCAGACCACCCAAAAGAACAAAGCAAGTCCGAAGCGGCCGCAGTTCTTTTAACCGGGATTGCTGAAGCTAGCACTGCCTCCAGGGCACGGATGCGCCTGGAGCAGGAGGTGCGTTGACCCCCCCTTCAGTGTTTCAGGCAACCCCGGTATAAGCGAGCCAGCTGGGCCGCCGGCCTCATCACCCCCCCTTCAGAGTGGGGTTGTACCTGGCAGGGCAAGCGTCGCATGACAGCATCCTGTTGCTCAGGGACCGCTCTTTTTTGGTCAAAGCGGCTTGATGTCAAGCTGCTGGCCGACGCAGCCAGGCATTCTGGTTGCCAGGGCGATGTTGGCTATTGGGTCGCAATGCATGTTGGGACGCAGTAAGGCTTGGCTACGCGCTGCTGGAGGCAGCTGCCAGATGTTCCGGGCGCCAGGGCGCATCAATCGGACACAGCTGAATGCCTCTGCCTGACAGTGCAAGGCGTGCAGGGCTGAAGCGTACGCGACTCTCAGGCCGATGGCTGAATCGGGCCAACCGACCTCTGCTGAGATCGTCTGCCCAATCATTGTTCCTTCCCGGAACGTGTGTTGGCTGCAGCAGCACGTTGTGTGCGTGAGCCCAGAAGGCTGTTAATTGCACGAAGAGTTGCAACGGCCAGGAGGTCGTGAACAATTTGTTAAGGCTTGCTTCTGTTGCCGAATTAGTGCCAACTGCGCCAGCGTCTCGAAGCATGCGATGTACCGCTGTCCAGGCTTGACAAGGCAAGGCCATACTGCGCGTATGTCCTGCATGTTCCAGGTTTCGGCAAACCCAAACCACTTGTGATGAAGTGATTGCCCAGCCCCCTATATATACCTACCAAGTCGTCTTCGGCACACGCATCTGCGGCTGCCAGTGCTTGCAGCTGGCGTGGCCGTGCCAAGGGCTGAACTGGCGAGTGCTGGAAGCACGAGGCCAGCCATGTAAGGCATTGCTGGCTCGACTTGGAAAGGCCAGTGTAGGGGTTATTCGGATCCGCGATACGTACCCACGTGGGTTTGCTTGTGCCTGGCACACGCGGGATGTCC